CAGGTGATGGGTGCACCAAAATCTTACAGATCACCACTAAATAACTTACTCATGTAACCAAATGCCACCTGTACCCCAATGACTTATGGAAAAATAAAAAATATTTGGAAAATATTACTTAAACTTCCTTATGTAGAAGAAGAAAATCCAAAACCTTAATGTTCAAAAAACTGAATTGGTTACCAGAATTTTCTACTAATCAAAGAACACCATGCCATATAGTTTTAAAGGCAAATTTTACTGATCCTCAAGGAACAGCTAATTTTCATAATATGTAAAACTTCTTGAGAATAGACAAAAGAAGGACAGCAATCCAGCTTGCTTTATAGGGCTAGTATAACAATGATAACAAGACTAGAAAAGTACAGTAGAAGAAAAGTGATTTATTGAACAAATCTCAAAAATGAACATAAATGCAAATTAGCCTAAGTATTAGTAAACCAAGTTCAGCATTGTTATTACCAAACAAAATACATCTTTTTCAGATAAGATATAATTTAAGGCAAAAAATATTATAAGCATATAGAAGGATTTTATATTTATAAAATTAGAAATAGAAAAAGAGGAGATGTATGAGTTTATATATTTAATAAATTGGACCATGAACAACATATGGGTAACAGTAATTGTTTCTCTCTAGCCATCAGATGCCCTTGGGCATCAATGTGAGGAAGAAACATCTTACCAGTATATAAGGACACAATCTGGACACCAGTCACCAACAAGCCTCTTACTGAACAGGTCTGATGGGGGAAAAGCACATTAAAACCTACTACAAGTGACCTCCCTCAAGGTAAAAATAATAGGTTTTTTACTTAGCTGGCGGTCATGAACATTAAAATAACTTTGACTTAGCAAATTATACCCTGCCTCCTTTATATTTAAGTATAAGAATGGATTTAGGTAAAAGGCTAAAAGAAAAATTTAAAGCACAAAGGCACCATCAGATTGTCTCAGCTGCATTCCCTGAAATTATAAAATAGGGTCAATTCATTTTTATTTCTTCATTCTCAGAAGACAGAGAAAATAGTAATAGTCACAGACCTCAGGGATTATGGTCTTCCTCATTCCACCTCACACTCCCCTTGCACTAGAAATTAAAGAACAGGGATTGCTTCTTGGTAAGAAGTGTCCTTCCTTGTTTGCATTCCAGTTAAATCTCACAAAAAGGGTTTAACAAATCCCATTGGGATGCCTTATCCTTCTTTCCGATCCCTTAACATGTTGCTCACAGCTTCTATAGCTCTTGCTACCTGGTCCTACTTTGGGAATTGTATTCCTTGTGGAGACTTGATGGAAAAAAATACGGAATATATGTTCAGGTTACACAGAAGATAAAACTCAGCCAACATGGGATGGGAATACTATATGGGTTCCACCTGCCCCTGAAACAAGTGATTCTATTTGGGAGGCTGAATCTATATGAGTTCCACCTGCCCTAAAAAAAAGTGACTCTATTTGGAAGGTTAGTAGGTGGGGATATTTTGGAGTTCCTGAAACTACAATAAGCTTGGGGAATCTGTAATGTAGGAAGAGGTCCTGGAAGTAAGTGTATTCCTTCTTAAATTTCTGATCATGAATCCTACACTGACTAAAGAAATTAACAGCAGCAACATCTTGACATCAACATCCTTCCAGAGAAAACCAGAGAGAGAAGTACAGTGAGAGCCCCTTTCCCTAGGACAGGAGCAGATGGCAGTGTGCACGTGGGTCTTTATCTCTCCACTGCAACACACTTTCATAGCATACTGAGACATGGTTGATCTAAGCAGAGAATAACGTCTTTTCTGAGAGCTATCCAACCTCCATTGGGGCACTTTTTCCCCCAGTAATCTTCTTGGAATGAAAGAGTTTCAATACTAGCTTACAGATGCTTTTTACTAATTTGTGAAGCTTTATCTAACTCATATCCAGCTTGTTTTCTCATTTTTAGTTGTTAAGCCTGATGTAAGTTTTTATATTATCCAATCTTTATTTATTACACAATTTCAGATGGACTGTTAATAAAAAAATCACAATGCAAAATGTAATTCTTACCTGTTAATGCCAAATTTCTGCTATTTATAGACTTAGCTACTAGACTAATTTAAAAGTTTTCTCTTTTAGATATACCTAATGTAGATAATTTATTTTGATACATTTGGTGTTGAATTTCTTGTTTAAATTGTAACATAAAAATAGTTGTTTGTGGGGGTTTCCTTGTAATTTGCTATTGCTCATGAAATTCAGTAGTGGTTTTATAGAACAATGGACCTAATTGACTGCAAACTAGATTTCTGTTAAATAAGAAGAAGAGTGACCCAAAGGATTTATTTTTAAATGTGAAATTCCTTTTTCTGAGCTATTTAAACATGAGAATTATCATATTCGTGAGTCCCTTTTTTTCTAAATTTTTGTGGGTACATAGTAGGTGTATATACTTACGGGGTATATGAGATGTTTTGATATAGGCAAGCAATGTGACATAAGCACATCATGGGGAATGAGGCACCCAGCCCCTCAAGCATTTACCCTCTAAGTCACAAAAAATCCAATTACACTCTAAGTTATTTTAAAATGACGATGAAGTTATTGACTATGGCCACCCTATTTTGCTAACAAATAATAGGTCTTATTCATTCTAATTTTTTTGTACCCATTAATGATCCCCACCTCCTCCCAATACCCCTGCTATCCTTCCCAGCCTCTAGTAAACGTCCTTCTACTCTCTATGTCCATGAGTTCAATTATTTTGATTTTTAGGTCCCACAAATAAGTGAAAACATGTGATGTTTGTCTTTCTGTGCCTGGCTTATTTCATTGAACATAATGATCTCCATTTCCATCCACATCATTGCAAATGACTAGATCTCTTTCTTTTTTATGGCTGAATAGTGCTCCATTGTGTATATGTACCACATTTTCTTTATCCATTCATCTGTTGATGGACACTTAGGTTGCTTCCAATTATTGGCTATTGTAAACAGTGCTACAACAAACATAGGAGTGCAGACATCTCTTTGACATACTGATTTCCTTTCTTTGGGGTTTATACCCAGCAGTGGGGTTGCTGGCATACTTGTGAGTCTTTTTAATAGTCTTATCAATCCAACCAGGTTACATGTGGCAGCAAACAAGTACAGTCTTATATGCCCTCAGTCAAGACATATAGCAGAGCATAGTACATGTTCAGTTAATACCTGTGGATTTATATTTTGTGATGTAGCTACTCGGAGATGGGGGAAGATGAGATGACACCATTGGTCCTTCTACTTTATTATGTACCTTTATCTTATAAAATTTTAGAAATAGCATTGTTATCTTCGTTGGCCTCAGATATTGCAAGAAAGTTGAAGTGAAAGTGAATAACACTTTTCTATGCATTTAGGACCACTGAATCCTATTGTTGGAAGGGATGTTGGCTTTCTTCTAGTTCAACTTCTCACATGACAAAGGAATCCCATCTTGAATAGATGGTTAATTAATCTATGAATTAAAACACTCACCGAAATCAACTTCATTCCTAATAAAATTACTAATTTTCAAGAAGGCAATTTCAATAATTATCAAATTATTTCTTGACTAAGATAATATCACCTTCCAATAATTTCTATTTTGAATTATGATTCTTTCTTCAAAGCAAGACAAAAACTTATTTACTTTTGCTGATGAAATCTTTTAAATAATATCAGAAAACTAGAATGCGGAGTTCATTGATAGCAACTCAATTATGAATTTTTCTTAGGTTTTTATTTTAGTGAAATTCAGATGGATTATGGACTAAAGAAGGCTGTAGAGTCAGGCGAAAAAAAAACCAAGCAACAATTTAGAAGTTACAATGATTCAAACCTCAGTATACCCTCTTTGCTTTGGAAGAATTTTAAAACATTTGATAGACCACAAAAAAAACTACAGAGTCACCATAATAATAAGTAGTTATTTATTTTTATATGATAGTTAAGAAGCTATAAAATATGTTAAACATTCTATGAATATAAGTATATGGTTAGAGTTTTAGCTCTAGTTTTGGATAGAGATCAGTGTTTTTTTGACCCATCATGAAATAATTCAGCCAGCATATAGATTAGACTAGAATAAAATAGAAAACAAGTGCATTACACAGAGTAAGGATTCAATTTTTTATATATATATATAGTTGTGTGTATGTACTGGGTAGACATTTATTATTGTAGGAATATAGCAGAGTTTTGGAAATTTTCAAATGTAAATAAATAAATCATATGTAACAATTTCACTACTAGGTATATATCCAAAAGAAAGGAGGTGAAAATATCAAAAAGATATCTTCACAGCCATGTTTATTGCAGCACTATTCACAGTAACCAAAATATGGAATAAACCTAAGTGCTCATCAATGAATGAATAAAGAAAATATATATATACACACACACACATATATATATACACACATACACACACACACACATACACAAAATGGTATATTATTCAGCCATGTAAAAGAATAAAATCCTGCCATTTGCAGCAACATGGATGGAACTAGAGGTCATTATATTAAATAAAATAAACTAAGCACAGAACGACAAATATTGTATGTTTTCACTTATATGTGGGAGCTAAAAATGTGCATCTCATGAAGACAGAGAGTAGATTGGCGGTTACCAGATGCCAGGAGGGGTAGCAAAAGGGAAACATAAAGAGAAGTTGATTAATGGGTACAAACATATGGTTTCATGGAAGAAATAAGACCTAGTGTTCAATAGATTACAAGAGTGACTATAGTTTACAGTAATCTATTGTATAGTTGAAAATAGCTAGAAGAGAATAATTTGAATGTTTCTAACATAAAGAAAAGATAAATATTTAAGGTGACAGATAGCCCAAGTACACTGATTTGATCTCTATAAATTAAATGAGTATATTAAATTATCACATGTACCCTAAAACTATGTACATCTATTATGTATCTATTAAAAATTGTTAAAAATAAATTTGCAAAAAATAGAAAAAAAATATAGAAATAAATAATATAAATACACATTTATAGTAGAAGGGTATAGTCTAACAAGGGTGACAAGTAACTACATTCTGATTGTAAGACAACACAGAGTAGACCCTCTAAGGGTACAAAAGTCAAAACACAAAGATCTCTGTTTAAATCCAGCCAAAGTTGGGGCAAACTGCCATTCTTTCAACTTAATTCAAGATTATGCGATCAGTAAAAATCACAAGTTTAACAAATAATTCATACAAAAAAGGCACAAATTGGTGAGAAGACCTGATAGCAGGATCATTGACGTGTTTGTCATCCCTCTTTCTATCCTTATATATAGACATAGACACTATCACACTTCCACATGCATGGATATAAGCACCCTGCAATGAAGGAATACAGAGGGCAAGCATCTGGTGTAATCATTACAAACTGAGGAAAGAGTCCATGCTATGAAGGCAATTTAAGTATTAACGTATTTTGAACTGTGATGAAAGTATATTTGAAAATAAGATGTAATGAATACTATAACATCATACTGACATTGAATTTATCATAGGTGAAAAAATTTCCTTGTGTTTCCTTTGTAATGCATAATTTTCTCTTAGTAAGTGACTAAGATCAAAATATAATTGGAGGTGTTTTCTCAGGAAACACTCAAACAATAATACGTACAGTTGCAGCATGCTTAAACATTTGCCTCAGACATTCAGACTTGGTGAGCTCCTTGTTTCTTCTACAGGGAAATGGGAGGAAATCAGACTTCCATCACAGAGTTCCTTTTACTGGGATTTCCTGTTGGTCCAAGGATTCAGATGCTCCTCTTTGGGCTCTTCTCCCTGTTCTACATCTTCACCCTGCTGGGGAATGGGACCATCCTGGGGCTCATTTCACTGGACTCCAGACTCCACACCCCCATGTACTTCTTCCTCTCACACCTGGCGGTCGTCAACATCGCCTACGCTTGCAACACAGTGCCCCAGATGCTGGTGAACCTCCTGCATCCAGCCAAGCCCATCTCCTTTGCTGGCTGCATGATCCAGATGTTTCTGTTTTTGAGTTTTGCACATACCGAATGTCTCCTGCTGGTGCTGATGTCCTACGATCGGTATGTGGCCATCTGCCACCCTCTCCGATATTCTACCATCATGACCTGGAGAGTCTGCATCACTCTGGCATTGACTTCCTGGACTTTAGGAGTCTTACTGGCCCTTGTCCATCTAATGTTACTGCTACCACTGTCCTTCTGTGGACCCCAGAAAGTTAACCACTTTTTCTGTGAAATTACGGCTATTCTCAAACTTGCCTGTGTGGATACCCACATTAATGAGGTAATGGTTTTGGCAGGGGCACTGTCTGTGCTGGTGGGACCCTTCTTTTCTATTGTAATATCTTATGTTCATATTCTGTGTGCCATTCTAAAGATCCAGTCAGGGGAGGGGCGCCAGAAAGCCTTCTCCATCTGCTCCTCCCACCTCTGTGTGGTTGGACTCTTTTATGGCACAGCCATCATCATGTATGTTGAGCCCCAATATGAGAGCCCCAAGGAGCAGAAGAAATATCTCCTGCTGTTTCACAGCCTCTTCAATCCCATGCTCAATCCCCTAATTTATAGTCTTAGGAACAAAGAAGTCCAAGGTGTTCTAAAGAGTATGCTTGTAAAGGAGAGAACTTCATGAAAGCCTGAAAGAATAATAAAATAGCTGGGTTTACTAAAGGGCTTTGAGATTACACCTGAACCCATAGCTACTCAGGATACATAATCACACTCTAAGGAACCCTTTCCATCTTCTTGAAATGTTCCTATGAGTACCTCCGGAGAAAGCCCATTCTGCTTTCTTCTCTCTAGCATTGAAGGTCGGAGCTGCACAATTAAAAAAATATATTTACACTAGCTGTATAGTGTACATACTTTTAATATAATTATGTGAAATGTTCTGAAAGTTGGAAATAAATGTGCATCTTTTTGTTAAGTAAATAGGACTCAAAGGCCAATTTTTGTAGAATAAAGATACAGGCGTTAAGAGAGACTGATAACAAAGTCATTATTTAATTATTTTTAATTTAGAAAGTGCCATATTGAGGCCTGGCGTGGTGTCTCTTGCCTGTAATCCCAGCACTTTAGGAGGTCAAGGCAAGCAGATCACGAGGTCAGGAGATTGAGACCATCCTGGCCAACATGTTGAAACCCTGTCTCTACTAAAAATACAAAAATTAGCCAGGCATGGTGGAGCAGACCTGTAATCCCAGCTACTCGGGAGGCTGAGTCAGGATAATCACTTGAACCCAGGAAGTGGAGGTTGCAGTGAGCCGAGATCGCACAACTGCACTCCAACCTGGGTGACAGAGCGAGACTCCATCTCCTCCATCTCCTCCATCTCAAAAAAAGAAAAAAAAAAAGTGCCATGTTTAAAAAATAGATCTACATAGAAAATATTTGCACATATTTTTCTAGTGGTGACATTTTCTAACGTATAATCCATGTAGATTAGAAAGAGCATGAGCCATGTCTTCACAGGAAAGAGAATAGAGAATATAACTGTAATGCAACTACGAAGAAAACCTGGGCAGATGTCATGCTAGTAAATATACAGACATATTGGAGCCTTCTCTATTCCTTTTTCTTTGCTTGTGGAGTGCAGGGGAAAGCCATGGGATATAGAACTGAGTGGAAGAGAGCACAATGGCAATAACAGAGCTCATGAAAGAACTATATGTTTTCTGTCATGGGTTTGGTCAATTGTCTCCTATTGAAAATGATTAAAACCCAGAGGAGATAATCCTGAAAAGTAAGAACAGACCGTAAGTGTTGTGACTAATTGACCAATATTACTAGAGCTGGAAATTATCAGGAATAATTTAATTTTAAATTAAGATATTTGAAGTAATTTTAATAAACTTTTTACTCAAACATGAAACTCTTCCACTTAGTTATAAAGTGATAGAAAATAATAGTGAAGAGGTATTAGGAAAGGATGTATAAAGATACTCCTGTTTCTCAGCTCTTCTCTCAAATTAAATATAACTTAATTAAGCCTAAATATGCAAACTGTGTAAAAGGGAAATGTTCAACTTTGTTAAAAAGATGTTTTCTGTGAAAAAGTATGTTGACGAGGAAAATACATGGATTTTTCTCTCACAAAGCATCCCTTTTGTTAGGACATCTGTTATTGCAGACATGATCTCATAACCAAAAAAAGGGGGGGTAAAAACACATGTACTTTGTGTTCAGCTAGACCTGGGATTTTACAAAGTTCTGCCAGTTGCTAGATGTGGAAACATTTGTAATTTACTTAAATTCTTCAGAAGGTATTATGTATACAATGAGGTCAGTAATGCCAAGCTCACAGATTTGTTGGGAAGATTAGAGGAAATATATGAAAATGTTTAGCAAGATCTATAACTCATAATAACACAGTAAGCAGTATTCATTAATGTTATCCACTACATATACTTATTATATCCTTAAAGAACTAGAACAACAACTTATAAATGCAATAACTAAATATCAGATTTCCCACTTTACCAGAAAGAAGCAGGAATATTGCAAAATTTAGCTTTTTATCTGATACAAAATGCCATGATGTTAAATAATTTATGAAGTAAATGATTCACAGAGCTTTTCCTTTGCAATCTCAGTTCTCTAAGAAAGTAATAAATAAATACAATTCAAAATTGCTAAAATTCGTATATGTGTGTGTATATATTACACACACACATCAGTGCTAGGTCCTGGAAAGAAAAGGATGAATAGGGCACATTTCCTATTACTTTATTCATGTGTAGTGGAAGAATTAAATGGATACATGATGGAAATGAACAACTTATATAATAAGTTAATAGCTGAGCTCTGCACAGGATGCTATTGTAGCCCAGAAGAAGGATAACTCCCCCAGAATGGGAGTGGTTCAGTAAGACTTCCTAGAGTGGAAGGCCATCTGAAAGCAGAAGTAAGAGTTAGCCATCAGGGGCTGGGAGAAAGGTGTGGTATGGCAGGAAGGGGTGTTCCATCCAATGAGTGAAAGAAGCAAAGACCCAAAGGGAGTAAGCGGCTTGTAAGCTGCGGGGGAAACAAACATAGCTCAGGGTTTTCCAGGTGTAAAATACAAGGCAGGGACTGATGAGAAGTGCGCCTGGAGAGAATGAGCATGGAGGAACACATATTCCAGGCTAATGACCCTCAAGTACAGCCTATATGAAATGTGAAGCCAGATTATAAGTATGAAAATGCTAAGTAATCAGACCTGAATTTGGAAAGATCTTCTGGAGCTATGAGAACTGAGTATTTGAATTGACCAAACTGATATCATACTGTAATATAAAGGCTATCGTATCAGTTGAAGTAAGAAATGCTGGCAGAGGCTGAACAGAGTACACATGAGAATAAAGTGGGGGTGATTTCACTGGGAGATGAGAAGGTAAAATGAGCATAATTTGGTGGTTGGTAAGTATAAAGAATAAATGGAGGGAAGAATTTTTTTTTTTTTTTTTGAGACGGAGTCTCCCACTATCAAGCAGGCTGGAGTGCAAAGGCACCATCTCTGCTCACTGCAACTTCCACCTCCCAAGTTCAAGTGATTCTCCTGCCTCAGCCTCCCAAGTAGTTGGGATTACAGTGGTGCGCCACCATGCCTAGCTAACATTTTGTACCTTTAGTAGAAATGGTGTTTCACCATGTTGGCCAGGCTGGTCTCAAACTCCTGACCTTGTGATCTGCCCACCTCAGCCTCCCAAAGTGCTGGGATTACAGGCGTGAGCCACCACACCCGGCCGAAGAATTTTTTAAAAAAACTTTTAAAATTAAAGATACACAGAGAAATGCATAAATCATAAGTTAAATTCAGTGAAAGATCATGAAGTAAACACATTATGTAACCACTTTCTGGGAGGAGAAATAAAGCATTCTGGCCTTCCAGGAGCTACCGTCATGATCTCTCCCAATTACCGCACCTTCCCTCCTCCCACAGGATACCTATTACCCCAACTTCTAACAGCGCGTATTAGCATTGTATTTTCTTGGACTTTATATAAATGGGACATATCCATAGAGAGTGTACATTCTTTTCTATCTGCCTACTTTCACTCATTATTAACTTTGTGAGATTCATCCAGGTTGCTGTATGTAACATAATTTATTATTTTTATTTGTTTTATAGCATTACATTGCACAAATATTTCATAATTTATTCACCACATTCCTGATGGATGTGAATTGTCGACAATTTTGGCTATAACAAATAATTATTCCATGAATGGTATTATATGTACCTTTCAGGAGACATATATAATCACTTCTCTTGGCTACATATCCATGGAAATACTAGGTTATAAAAACTCTAAACTTTCGGCCAGGCGTGGTGGCTCAGGCCTGTAATCCCAGTACTTTGGGAGGCCAAGGTGGGCGGATCACGAGGTCAGGAGATCAAGACCATCCTGGCTAATACGGTGAAACCCCGTCTCTACTAAAAATACAAAAAATCAGCCGGGCATGGTGGCGGGCGCCTGTAGTCCCAGCTACTAGGGAGGCTGAGGCAGGAGAATGGCATGAACCCGGGAGGCGGAACTTGCAGTGAGCCGAGATCTTACCGCTGCACTGCAGCCTGGGCGACAGAGAGAGACTCCGTCTCAAAACAAAACAAAACAAAACAAAAACAACTCTAGACTTTCATCTGCTTTGGATTGAACTCTTGAAAGTCAGCCTATGGAATTGTTATTATTATTTACTCATGACCTGCAGTGTGCCTCACACTGAGCACTCATCTGGGTCACACCTTCTGGTGATCTTTATGAACTGTCCTGCCTAATAACCCCTGCCAAACATGTAAGTGGGGGATTGCAGGGTAATATTTCCTCCACTTCAGATTGTATTTTTCTTATCTATGCAATAACTCTCGTGATTTAAGACAACAGTGGGAAAGCCAACATATACATGCGTGTGGCCACTTATTTTACCGACTTATTCTCCTTTCCCCCTACACTTCACTGGGACCAGAGAAGCTGACTCTCCAGCACTCGAAAGTGGCCCTCACATCTTAGACTGAGTTTACCTACCACTTCTTTTAGAACTTTAGTGGTTCTACTAACCTGCGTTCCCCCAAAATAAAACCTGATGTAAAAGCTTATACAACATCATTTAATTAAAAGTGATGGGTTGGCGCGGTGGCTCATGTTGTATCCAGCCACTTTGGGAGGCCGAGGCAGGTGGATCACCTGACGTCAGGAGTTCGAGTCCAGCCTGACCAATATGGTGAACCCCGTCTCTACTAAAAGTACAAAGATAACCGGGCATGGTGGTATGTGCCTGTATCCCCACTACTCCACAGGCAGAAGGCAGGAGAACTGCTTGACACCCGGAGGGCGGAGGTTGCAATGAGCTGAGATCTGCGCGCCATTGCATTCCAGCCTGCGGCAACAAGAGCAGAGAACTCCTCAAAAAAAAAAAAAAAAAAAAGAGGAAAAGGGATGTGAGGCAAGGAGAAGGAAGGGGGGAGAAACCAAAGGTGCCTTGCTAAGCTGCCCCCTGCTTGGTGTCAAATACTGACTTCTCTAGCTGAGGTCTGGTTTTTGAGAGTCTTGTGAATATACTGGTTTAGAATGGGTCCTTAGGGAGTAATCGAGAGAGTAATTATATGCGCCACTGCATCTCTGTTGGTCAAATACATGTGCCTCCACTCCATGGGTGTTAATTATCCCACAGTAAAAAATTCGCACATACATCATGGCCACCAATATTCTACATGGAACTTGTGCTCCAGGGTAAAAGAAAAACCTCAGATCAGAAAGCAAAGAGGAGATGTAACAGTGGCAGGAGAAGAAGCCTCTTGGGTTATCCTGTGTAGCGATTGATTAGACCCAGCGTAGCTCATTAGTAGGTGGCTGAGATGGACAAGTGGACAAGGGTTCCAGGAAAGTGTGAGGTTGGAAAGATCTGAGTTTGTGAGCAAGAGTAGTGTCTGGTGTACAGGAATAAGTCCATAGAACTAGAATTTCATCTGTTAGTTAAGTATGATTTAGAATTTTTTTTTTCTTTTTTTTGAGTACAAATAGTCTCTCTCTGTCGCCCAGGCTGGAGTGCAGTGGTGCAATCTCAGCTCACTGCAACTTCCACCTCCCAGGATTCAAGCGATTCTCCTGCTTTCAGTCTCCCAAGTAGCTGGGAC